TGCACTGCATAGTACCCAGTTGAGGAGGCCCAGCACGTTGAGCCGATCTAGCAGCCCGTCGCCCGCGCTACGCGTCACCACTGCGCACGTACGCCCGCACGCACGACACACACGCGACCCACACACACAACACGACCGCACCAGGGCGCACGCGTGGCGGTCAGGCACGGGCCACGGGGCGTGGGAGGGCACAGGCGCGAGGGGGGGGGGCTGGTGATGATGGTCGAGGAGGAGGAGGAGGAGAAGTACCGGAGGGGGCGAGCTGGCGGAGGGCCTGTATGGTGGCCCAGGGCAGCGTGGGTGCGCTCCACTTGGAGGCGGCCCCCACCCGGTCCAGTACCAGCTCGATGGCCCACAACAGGGGCTGGTCCTCCTCCTCCTCCTTCTCCTCCTCTTGCTGCTCTTCTTCCTCCTCCTCCTGCTGCTGCCCCCTTCGTTGTTGTTGTTGTTGTTGTTGTTCCTCCGCCTCCGCCTCGTCGTCGTTGCAGGTCGTGCTCCCGCTGCCGTGGCGGTGGGCGGAAGAAGAAGAGGAAGAAGAGGGGGGTGAGGGTGTGGCGGCGCCGGAGAGGGACCACGACCGCGGCGAGGCCTCCGAACCGGAGGAGGCGGGATCAAACGGCTGCGTCCACTCCATGTCTGGATGGTGGAGGAAAACAGGCTTTCCCTAATCATTTCTTTAATGCTCTTCAGGAAAGGATCGGGAGAACACGGGGAAATTCCGGCACCGAACTTCGGCTTGGAGTCCTATTGGCTGGCGACTCCGTACCTGCCGGTCAATTAATTTGCACAAGAAGGCGAAGGGGCAGTACAGCTGCTGGCATACCTCTCAGGGCGTGCATGGACGGTGGAGCACCACCGCGCCACCCCTTCTAAGTGCTGTTAGAAGGCCAATCCCACCATGTTCGGTCGTTTCACACTGCGCAAGGGCACAACACCACCAGGTGATGGTTCGTAACCCCCCCCCCAAGAAAAAGAGTTATTGTTGTACTAGTAAAGAACAAAAGCGCTGACATAAATCAACGTTTTTTTAATTTTTATCTGTTTATTATTGTTTTGGCGCATCGTGACCAACAAAACAACAACACAGGGAAGGAAAAAGGGGGTGACCACACCAGTAAGGATGCGCCCCCACCATCAGGGCCGTCGCACGGCACCCTCCGCACCCCGTCTGGTCGCTCTCCAGCGGCGGCTGCCCTGGCGCCACCGCCCGCCCTCACCCCGCCCCTCTCGCCCTCGGGCTCGCCCGCGCCAGCGTCGCCGCACGCCTCGCCGGGCAGCACCTCGGCCTCCTCCTCGCCCATCGCCATGCGCTCGTCCACGGCCGGGCGAGATTCGCCCCTCTCCTCCTCGCCCTCGCTCAACGGGAGCGGGTCGTGGAGCCGCGTCGACGTGTCCACCATGCGGCGCACCCCCTCCTCCATCTCCCTCGTCAAACCCATGACCGCGCCCGGCGGCGGCTCCTCCATCTCCACGTCCTCCTCCGTTTCCGCCATCTCCTCCTCCTCCTCCTCTTCGCCGTCGTCTCCCCCCTCGCGGCTCCCACTCATCGCCGCAGCCGGTGGTGCCCAGCCTCGCCCTGCCCGACGGCGGACACGCATCGGCCGCCAAGCAAGCCGGCAGTCCGCCGGCCTTCGTGCCCGCGTCCCCCTCCTCGTTGTCGATGGCGATGGCCGCATCGAGCAGCCTGCGGTCGTCCACGTCCGGCACCTCCTCCGCCGCCGACGCGCACGTGGCGGCCGCCTCGCCGCACCGGATGGCGTCGCCGCGCCACCAGCAGCAGCACCACCACCACCAGCAGCAGCAGCAGCAGCCCGGTTTCGGCGCATCGGAGCTGGCCCGCCGCGCCCTCCTGTCGTCGGCCGACCTCGTGGCGGCGCCGGAACTGACGAGCGGCGCCCGGGCCGGGCTGTCGTCGTCGTCGAATCCGTCGTCGCTGGCGTCGTCGCTGTCCTACTCGACGTCGGGCCTGACGGACCGCATGATGGCCCTCGACGGCAGCAGCGCGTCGGGCGGCTGGGGCGAATACCACACGCTCGACGCCCTCCGCATCCGCAAGCTCGCCGTCGACAACCTGCCCCGCTCGGCGCCCCTCCGCAGCGCCACCCGCCTCCTCGCCCTCCTCCTCAAGCACCAGGACCGCCTCTTCAAGGTACCACGCACGCACGCACGCACGCACGCACATGCACCACCGCACACATGGAATTCCCAACGGCAGATCCGGAAAAACTCAGGTCTCACCCACCCAACCAATCAACCAATCAATCAGGTGAACCAGCACGACCAGGTGCCTGAGCCCCTCTACGCCCTATTCGAGCACCTGACCAACAACGGTACGGGAAACCTCATTCCCCGTTCCCTTGGTCATTCCATGCATGCCATGCGTGCCTGCATGCATGCAATAATCATCATTTGGCGTGTGGGGTGGATGTATGTATGACGTCCGGTGTGCAGGCCTGGCCGTGGAGGACCTCTTCGCCTTTCAGATCTCGCGGGTCAAGGTGGAACCCCTCTACCACCTGGTCATGTACAAGGGTAAACCTCCCCCCCCAACACACGATACGACACATCATCAGCACCGCCACCGCAGCTCAACAGAACATCAACGTCAACATCAACATCAACGAAAACGACAACACGGCATCTAATGGCACACCACTAATGGTGCCGCCGTCTTCGTGTGGGGGGCAGGCATGTCGCTTTCCAACGAGACCAACATCCACCTGGTGTCGGAGATTCTGCGACTCGCCCTCGAGCGACTGCCCCGGAGACCCTTCCACTTTGCTCGCTTCGAGCCACCACGCTCCTTCGATGGTATTGCATTGGCCGCTCGTGTCGTGCGCACGACATTCATGGCACTCACGACAACATTCGCGACAACGCACGCACACGCACACGCACACGCACACGCACACGATGCAGAGTTGGAGGGGGACGAGGCCGGGAGCGTGAAGCTGGCGGAGGAGGTGCTGGGGCGGGTGGACGCGGTCGAGCGGCAAATCGCGGGTCAGGTGGTGGGGCTCGTGGGCCACCTGGTGAGCATGGCCGAGGTCAACGGCGCCAACGAGGAGCTCCTCCTCCACGTCTTCGCCCCGCTGCTCGTCGACGGCAAGTGGCTGGCCTACCGCAAGCCGCCCGCCGTCAAACTGCGCGAGCCCTTCGTCGTGTGATCGCCCACCCACCTCCTCTCTCGCGGTGGTGGTTGTGGTTCGTTGTTGTTGTAATGGAAAGAAGATGATGTTTCTCGGTCTCCGACAAAATTGTTGCGTGTTGTTGCATTCTTCGGAGGTGTACAAGTACATGCCTGTTGGTGTGTGGTGTGGTGTGGTGTAGCTCTACGGGGGAGGGAAGAAGGCGATAGATAGGCGGAAGGCGGAAGGAAGGAAGGGTTCTCTCTAGAGGTTGGTGGAGGGCTTGGAGGAGAGGCTGGCGAGTTCGAAGTCGAGGGAGGAGCCGTTGGAGAGGTTGGAGGCGGGCGGCGAAGATCCGCCCGAGGAGGACGAATCGGAGGTGTGGCCCTTCACCATGGCCCACGCGTGGGTCAGGAATCCCTCCTCGGCCTGCCGCGCGTGGATGAGCCGCGCCCAGAACCCGAACGTTTCCTATAACCCCGGCCACACACGCGCCACACACGCCACACACAACACGTCAGCGCGCGACCTTGATGAGTGGCGTTGTTGGGGGGGGGTGTTGTGGAAATGGCACCTTGGTGGTGCCGAGGAAGATGAAGACGGCGTCTCCAATGGTCGCGGTGGCGAGGACGACGAAGAAGAAGTAGGCGTAGCTGATTCCTCCCTTCATCTCGCATTCGGTGCCGGTGGTGAGACTGCACGCGACCTGCTGCTCGACCGCCCGCTGAATGTCGTCGTAGCGCACCTGTTTAAATATACATCATCATCATCATCATCATCATCATCATCATCATCATCATCATCATCAATGGTATGCAATCGCTGATCGGCCAGGGCGTGGTAATGTGATGGTCCGGTGTGTTGGTGGGGGGGTAGGCACCTCGGCGTAGATGCGGAAGGAGTAGGTGATGGCGATGTTGATGAGGAAGTAGATGACCATCGACATGAGGCGCACCAGGTGCGACGTCAGGCTGCTCTCCTTTCGCTTGAACTTGAGCTGCCACCACCCGACGAGATCAGTCATCGCCAATTCCAGGCAGCAAGCAAGCAAGCAAGCACCCCCAACAGCATCATCATCAATGAAACGGCGGCGGGGGGGGGTGTGAGGTAGGCATACCACCATGAGCTTGATGACGCTGATGCAAAGCAGCACCATGCCCACGATCAAGAATGGAATTGCTGCACACACGTTTATTGGGCCATTACACATATTGCTAATCATCGACTGACGGAATGTACGGGAGAGGGGTTCACGTACTGGGACCGAAGACGAAGGCCCAGTCCCACCAGGAGCGGCCCCCGTCGCTGTAGAACTGGCAGTAGGGGCTGCTGATGGAGCCGCCCACCTTCTTCGTGGCCAGCAGCAGGATGAGCGAGATCATGGGCAGGCCCCAGCACATCACGTGGTACCACTTGTGCAGCTTCATGAACCGCTCTTGCCTGTTTTGGACAACACGAAGATGTACAACAGCCAGAGATCAGCGGGCGACGTCGCGAGTCCCATTCGTAATCGTCCATCTTGGCGCGTACCTGATTTCGAGGACCAGGAGCACGAACAGGTTGATGTTGAGGGCGAGCCACCACAAAATTTGGGCGATGGTGAGATAGCTGAAGACCATCGCTGCTCAACCGCACACGCATCACCGCACACACACAGTCAGAGCGTCAAAAGGCCGCGCGTGCGAGTGTGCGTGCGTGCGTGCGTGCGTGTGTCGTGTGTGCGTGCGGTGCATGCGGAGAGAGAGAGAGAGTACCTTGAAAAATGCAGCCCATGCCCCAGCCTCCGTTCTCGCCGGCCGAGTCCATGCTGACGGGCTTGGGCGGCCAGTCCTTGGTGCAGGTGATGGAGTTGGGCTCGAAGAAGACCCCGAGGAACTGGAAGCCGGTGAAGAAGATGAAGCAGAGGGAGATGTAGAGGAGCACCGAGGCCGGGAAGCGTCGCTTCTTCGGGTTGAGGCTCCACGTGATGCAGAGGAAGAGGTTGATGACCAGCGAGATGAAGGAGAACACGTAGGCCACCACCCGGATGGCCACCCACTCCCCGCTGCTGTAGAACAGGTTCGGGCAGGGCGCCACGCACATGTCCGACGCGCCCGGCGCCGCCTGCGGGTCCCAGTTGAGCGGGTAGGGACAGTCCGCCTGGCTGTAGGGCACCACTGCGTTCGGCCGAGACACCGCACGAGCCCCAACTGTCAGTTAGTATAACTAAACTCAAGTTTGCGCCCCAACGAAAAAGGGGGAAACGGCGGGCGGCAAGATATCCGGGTACCGGCGTCGGTGGGGCCGTAAGCGCAGCTGACGGGCAGGAAGGCCGGCAGGGGGGTGCCGGTGACGTTGATGATGCTGTCACAGTCGGGCAGTTGATTAAGCTGGTTCTGGCTCTCCAGGAAGGCGTAGCATGCCAGCGTCATCTCCTCGCATACCGACCGGCACGGCGGCAACACTGCACCCCATCACCATCATCACCATCCGTGCCCACACATTCCGTTCGTTGCCATCTCGCGGTGCGGAGCCGAAAAAACAGAACGAAGCGAAAAAAAGAAAACGAATGAAGAGCGGAGGAGACGAACCGGCGAGACCCGTGCTGCTGAAGTCGCAAGGGAGGAACCAAGAGAGGCAGAGCAGCCGCAGGCCCGCCGTGCGACAGTCGGGCGGCATGAAGGCCCCGAAGAGGTGGGTGAAGTTACCGGCGGCCGCGTCCACCGACTCGTAGGTCTGGTCGGAGGCCAGGAACACGTTGGTGCCCGGCACCAGGAAGGTGTCGCACTTGTGGGCCGTACCCGGTGATCCCCGGAATGGCACGCACGCCTGCGCGCGGGCACCCGACAACATCGCCACGCTCGACCGACACTGCGCCGGCGGAGCCCATGACGCCCATCCGTGTGAGCTGCTGCTGCTGTCGAGGGCTGGCCAGCAGGGGAAGAGGGAAGGCACGGCGAAGAAGCAGAAGACGAGAAACACCACCCGTGTGGCACTCATCCAGGCCTGCTTGCTGTGCTGCTGCCGCTGTGTGTATGCTGGCGTGTAGGAGGAGCGGGCAGAGGTGCGCCTGCGCGAGGCACATGAAGAACACGCGAGCACAACAACGGTACACGAGGGAAAGGAAATGAGGCGGGGCGCCAAACGCACATAATACCACACAAAAGGGCGAACCAGTAGGCCAGCACAGGCGAGGAGGGGTGCGACGAAGGGGACATAACGTAGGAGAAAAGAGGGAGGGGGCAGTGAGGTACGGGTGCAAGGCCTCCACGCTTCGTTCTTCTTCGCTCTTTTTAGCACCACGCCCACCACTCACCACAGCTACAAAGGGGACGAAGGTGGCGAAGCAAAAAGCTCAAAAACAGGCGACGCCCCACAAATAGCGCACAACGGCCACCAACCACCAGCCAGGCTCAAGGACGGATAAGGAAAAAACGACTCCACGTGCCAATACACCCAAGATGATTCAAATTCCACTGGACGAAAGAAAAGCAAAGAGAAAAGTTGTCCTTTCGGTCAGCAAGGAATAGGAAAAAGAAAAGTGCCCTCATAAACGGCAGAGCAAAATAAAAGACAGGTGCGCCGTCACACAAATCGGCAGCGAGAGGAGCTATGAGGAGCGATGCTTGTTGCGTAGGGACATTCCTTCTCGTCCTCCTTTCCATTTCCGTGGCTTACGTTGCCGGTTCGTCCCCAATTGGCTTCATCTTTCGCGCCCCCCCCCTCGCAATGCGTGACTTCGTTGTGCCCAGGGTCCCCCGTGCTCAGCCAACCGGCCCTGTCATCGACCGTCCTCTCCGACGACACGAGCCGTGACCTGGGTTCATGGATAGCCGACGTACTCCTTCCCTTCCCCTTTATTTTGTTTTGTTTTGTTTTATTGTAATTTATTTTCCTTTCCCTGCGTGCGTGCACAGATCCTGCACGAGTTCCCGCACATCTCCTACCGCCTGCAGCTGGTGGGAGACCGTTTTGACCCGAGCGAGAGTGAATACCTTCAGGTACGGACCACTCTCCGGCCTCTTGAGGCGGGAATTGAGACTCACGTCTTGGCCGTGTGGCGTGCGTGTGGCGTGCGGTGTTGCGATGCAACTGCAGTCGGTGTCGACCTTCGCGGTGCCCTTCGCCTGCCTGGGGGCGCTGTTGTTCGTGGTGGGATCGGCCTACGCCATCTATCGCTGCGCGTGCACCGACCCCAATGCCGAATACCGGTAATACAGCCCAAATCACACACACACACACACACGACACACACGACCACAAACATCATTGGGGCTAACCTTTACCGATGCATCCAGATACCAGAAGTGGCATAGGACTTCTTCCGGGTGGCGCTGGTGTTCCTCACCTTCTTGATGATGTACGCCGGCTTTCTTCTTCTTCTTCTTCTTCTTCTCTCTCTCTCTCGCCACTCCCTCCTTACGGCGTGACTGTGATCCCTCACGTGATCCCGCACATTGTTTGGGGATCAGACTTGCGTGCGGCCCGGGGATCTGGGGCTCGGTCGAGGTCACCCGCAGCGGACCTGACATCGCCGATCGGTACCTCCTCTTTCTCTTTATTTATATATGTATTTATGTAGTTTGTGTTTTGTGTTTCTTGTATTATTTATCCGTCACACTTCGAAGAAATACCTTTCTGTATCGACGCGAGAGCTCTCTTACCGTTTCTCCGGCATGATGCTCTCTCTTGCTCCTCCGCCTTCGACAGGATCCAGGAGAGCACCGATTTCCTCGTGGACAACGCTGAGGGCGTGAACTACTCAATCATCCAGCTCTCGAGTATGTCCTTTTGCTCCATGTGCACCACCCAGACATATTTCTTTATATATATATATATATATATATATATATCTGAGTTCCGTGGCCACCCCGCCACTCACGCGCATGTTTTCTCTCGATTTATCGTGCCTGTCGACCAACAGACTACCTGAACGGCACCTACAGCTCGGCCTCCAATGCCCTGAGCAACGCCTACGCCATGCAGAGTGATCTCAACGAGTACAAGGATCACATGCTCACGGCCGAACTCGTGAGGTACCTAGCACACGCACACGCACACGCACACGCACACGCACACGCACACGCACACGCACACGCACTCTCTATTGGTACTGTTCTTTTGACATTTCTGTTACAATATTCCTAACCTAAAGGAATATCGTGGTCGTCTGTCTCTTCGGCGGGATCGTGTTGGCCTGCACGCTGGGCCTGCTCGCTGCCCTCTTCGGCTGGGGCGCTCCTTCCCTGATGTACGCTATGCTGCTCCCCTCCCCTTCATCATCGTCTTCTTGTCTGGTTTGAGCTCTGACCCGAGCCCACCCAACGTCGGCGCGTCGTGGTGTGGTGTGTGTCTGTCGACAGGATGGTGTTCATGCTGTGGCTCCTGCTCTCCTTCGCCTGGTTCATGTGCGGCGTGCACATGTCCAGTACGTAGTCTTCCCCCCTTTCGCCGCCAGTCGCCACCAACCAACCCAACCACTCACCACTTTGACCTCCAACTCCCTCTTGCAGCCGCAGTTGGCGTGGCCGATGTGTGCGAGACGGGCGACGACTTTTTCACGTACAACTACTTCAAGTCTAACGAATCCGTCGCCTTTGTCAAGGTGCCTCCTCCTCCTCCTCCTCGTTTAATTCTTCTTCCTCCTCGCCCTCCTCTTCCCAAGAAGCCACAGGTGTTCACTTCAGTTGTTTTCCCCTTTTTTTCGTGTGCAGTACTACATGCTCTGCAACTCCTCGATGCCCTACGAGAACCTCCAGGCCGATGGACGGAACCTCTTCATCCGGGCCAACGAGAGCTACTATGAGGCGCTGGCCAATAACAACACCGTACGCTACGCGCGCAACCAGCTGCCTCATGAGTACCAGGCTTACCCGAGACATACTCTCTCTCTCTTTCTCTCTGGGCAGGAGGAGGCCCAGACCTGGCTGCAGGTGCGCAACCAAACGCAGGAGCTGCTGGGCAACGTGGCGGCCCTGGCCGACTGCAGCAGGACGTCGAGCGACTACGCCGAGTCCAAGGACAGGCTCTGCAGCGATGTCATGTACGCGTGTCATCTCCTCCCTTTCAGCGGCCTGCTCGCTCACACAATTAATCGTGCAATTCCCCGCGCTCCAGTGTGGGCCTGAGTACGATGGTGGGGATGTGGATCTTCATCGGCCTGTTGGGCCTCGCCGCCATGCCGATCGGCGTTGCCGGCTACAAGCAATTCCCGCTTCCTCTCTGGGTTCGCACGCACACCCCTCGTCCCTCTTCCTTCGTTCGTTTGGGTTGCTCACGTAGGCGTGCTTGCGCTGCCATTTGTGTGTATCGTGTGTGTGTCATGTGTGTGTGTGTGTGTGCCGTGCGTCGTGCGTCGTGTGTGTTGTGTGTAGTATGAGGAGTTTGGGTCGGAGCTCGTGCTGACGAGAGAGGAGAAGAACTACTACCCCGAGCTCGCCCCCATCAATTTTGACTAGGCCGCCCACACCCCTCCAGTTCCTGTGACCGCATTTTTGCCGTATTTATTGTTATTGACCACGCATCATTCCCTCCACTCACTCGTCCCAATCTAGCCTAGTGTGTCGTCTCCCACAGAGTACACGTCCACAACATAACGGCGACCAAGCTCGCTCAAGAGATCGTCCCCTTCGGGCGGCACGGGAGACAAGGTACCCAGCGTTTGGCGTGAGCTTTCTTGTGGATTTCGGGTTTCAGAATTTCCGCGGTATTTTCTGTTGAAACGGCGGACGTGCAATTACGTCGGGGCGGGGATTGGTTCGCTTTTCTGCGACGTTTCGTTCTTCGGTTCGCTTTGTTTTGGGCTGCCTTCCCTCCCCTCCTCTCCCCCTCATCACCCCACCTGCCCGCCATCCATCCATCCGACCCTCCTCTCTTTCACACTCGACCTCCCACCAGTAGTTTCTAGCTTTCGCTTGCTTGCGACAACACACCACACCACACAGCTGCCTTCAGCGCTCCAACAACCACACAGCCGCACCAAGCGAAGAGGACTGACGCAAGGGTAGAGAAAGGGCCGAAAGAAGAAGAAGGAAGAAAGAATCCGTCAATCCAGCACACAAAAGATGCCGATCGTGTACGCAGCGGTAGCGGAGGACGGACAGGTGACGACTGAGTGCCAGCTGGCGGGCAACAAGACCGACTTCTCGAAGGTCATCACGGTCCTGCTGGAGCGCATGGAGCACCGCAACCACAAGAAGTCCTACAGCCACGAAGGGTACCTCCTCCCCCTCAAGTAAGGCCTTGCTCTTTCTCTCTCTCTCTTCCATCTACTCGGCGGATTTTTGAGTAGCGGCTGGTGGGGGCGTGGCTAATGGGACTTCCAGGTTCTCGTACAACTACATCACGGAGGACGAGGTGACCTACGTGTGCGTGGCCACGATGGACCTTCCGACGCGCCTGTGCTTCGGCTTCCTCACCAAGATCAAGAACCTCTACGACGGCGGCGAAGAATTCGACGCCGTGCTCGAGGAGCAGATGGTACTGACCCCCTCCCCTTCCCTTTCGGCCTCCTTGCCCTAGGTGCTGACGTTTGTATTCGTGTCATCGCGTGGCCCGCCAGGCGTTCTTCAACAACGACCCCAAGGCGGACAAGATCAAGGGCATCCAGTCGGACATCAAGACCGTGCAGGACATCATGATGGAGAACATCGGTATACGCCCCTCCCCCCCCTGCGCCCCACAAACAACGTCAAGCAAGACTCACACCGGACCGGCTTTTCCTTGCTTCCTCAGAGAATGTGCTGCAGAGGGGTGAGAAGCTGGAGGACGTGCTAGACAAGACGGACAAGATGAACGCCAACGCCTCCACCTTCCGGGAGAGCTCTCGCAAGCTGAGGCGGGCCATGTGGTGGCGCAACGTGAAGCTCAACATCTGCCTGTGCTTCATCTGCCTCATCCTCCTGGTACGGCCCAAGTCTTGCCATTTCGCCTTTTTACATTTTGGCACGCCTGACCCGACCTGACCACGTCTGTTTCACTCCTCTCGCAGGTGGTGATCTTCTTCGTGGTGGTGTGGGCCTGCGGTGGGTTCAGCTTCCCCAAGTGCGGCTGAGCTTGATTGAGAGAGTAGCTGTCGATGTCCACGTACGCGATCAAGCGTTGATGCGCGAGGGACTGACACTTCACGTGGAACAGGAAAGAAGGAAGGGCGGGGGGTAGTACATAGCGATCACTCAAGGATGCAACGATTCTATTGTTCATCCCTGTACATACGTCATCAATGCATAGGCAACACCATTTCACCATTTCGCTCTTGCAAGTTTGGTTGGGGTCCGGGCTACGGAGGCAACTGCAAAACCTCAAGACAGCGCGGGTGCCGCCAAGTCTTGGAAGCCGCCAAGAAGCAGCTGCAAGGTGAGCCGCGATCCAACTAACAACAAGGTGTGGTGGTAAAGCAGAGTGGCGCAGTGGAAGCGTGGTGGGCCCATAACCCACAGGTCGATGGATCGAAACCATCCTCTGCTAACGCCTTTTCCTTTTCCCCTTTGCCCCCAAGTTGTTTTTTCTCTTCATTTTTCTATTTTATTTGCCTTTCGAAGCTCTCGTTCTCTTTTTCTTTGAATCGAAGGCAATGGATACGCGACGCGTGGCAGCCTCGGGCGGCCCCTGGATCACACCGTCCTATTCTGTTCGCATCGAACCTCTCGGATCCGATGAGCAGGCGCGCAGATCGTCCTTGCACTACAGCCTCCTCGCCGAAGAGGATGACGATGCAGGTGCAGCACCGACACGCTCCGCTGTACCCCTCCTTCAACGCATTAATCTTTCCTCTTTTGTCGGCCACCACCGCCAGACCTCGAAGCCGCCAACCGAAGGCGAGCAGCCGCGGCCAACGTGAAGCTCCGTGGCCGCGTGCTTCGGTATAACCAACCGCACACTGCCCCTGAACTGCACCACCTCACCGTGCGTTGCTGCCCTGGGGCGTGACCGTTATTGTCATTGTCAGGCTGGTGGCGAGCTTCGTGCTGCTGCCGCCGGCGGTGCTGCTGTGCATCCTGTTCTCCCCCGTGTGGCTCGCGCTCAAGCTCATCGACTGGACCACGTGCGGACGCGAATGCATCGGTT